CTGGCTACCTGAGAGACCGCCTCCTACCATTCACCTCCCAACGACCAAGAAGATCGCACAGGTTGGTGCCTCCTCCGGGTGCCGTTGACCAGACAATGCCGGCTGGCGGGCCCCCGAGGGAGGGCCTTCTCTGTAGCTGCACTGGCCCTGTGGAATGATCTACCCGCAGAGATCCGGACCCTTACCACTCTCCTGGCCTTCCGTAAAGCGACCAAGACCTGGCTGTTCCGGCAGGCCTGGGGCTGTTGATTAATATCCAGCCCCACTTGATTGAATGGATGTTGTATTAATTTTAATAATTGTATCTTTTTTAAATTTTTTAAATGTTTTTATTTTTGCTGTGAGCCGCCCAGAGTCCCAATGGGAGTGGGCGGCATACAACTTTTATTAAACTAAACTAAACTAAACTGATGTAGGAGGTGATCAAACTAAGCCTGAGGGAGAGGTCAAACGTGTCATCAATCTCGAGCCCCTTCATACCGACCAAAGATTTAAGTCCAGCCCACCCTGAATTCATTGACTCTTATCTACCATCAATTTGCTTTGACCATTACTAGTTCAGATTCTTATAGACAGCTTAAGCTTGCAATAATTCTTTTTTTAAAAGTCATTTTGAGCTGCCCGGACTTCTGATTTCCCGCTCTTGACAGTTATTTTGCAATGGAGGGCTGACTCATGAAATGATGAAATTGAGAAGATGTATCCAAGCCCTGCTCTCAGCATCCCCATGTACCTGGCTGACATTAAAGAGCAAAGTGTTGATTAATGTGACGGGCAGAAGGCAGTTCCAACCTTATCTGGAACTGAAACCCTGCTGGGACACAAGGGAAGATATAGAGAGCTTTGCAAGCACATTTTATTCTAGAATGATGTAGCGTGTTTTCTAAATGTCTTTGAAACCTTTCTGCTGGATCCACAAACCTCTCTAATAAGGAGGCAGAAAAATTAGGTCGGCTGGATTTCTACAAGCTTTTTCTCCTCCCTAATTTAACTAGTGTCTGTAGAAGATGATTTTAGAAATGAAACAGAAGATGACAGGATCGTTTACATCCGATTCCTCTACATGAGGAAAAAGCAAACTATTATCCAATTTAATTTGGTATTCAAAAGGGATGTGGTGGCTCAGTGGCTAAGACGCTGAGCTTGTCGATCAGAAGGTCGGCAGTTCAGTGGTTCGAATCCCTAGCGCTGCTTAACAGAGTGAGCTCATGTTACTTGTCCCAGCTTCTGCCAACCTAGCAGTTCAAAAGCATGTAAAAAATNAGGCATTCATTTGTCTCTGTGGGAGAAGTTCAAATTGACTGGTTCTGCTGGGTATGATGAGACCAAACAATGAGGAAAACGAAGAGCAACCCTAAAACAAACTGATCTCCTCATGGCTCAGCAGTGAGATTTTTCTGCTTGTCTATTGTGAAAAAGGTTAGCTGAAAGATGTTGATGTTCATGCTTGTTGAGATAGTTTGTCAGCTGCTCTAGGCAAAGCAAGAAGAGAAATATGGATGGATTAGCACCCTCGGAATATGATGGAGATTGAGTGCATCCCCATGCAATGATCAAGCAGGCAACTGCAGTTCCTTCCATCTGTTTCTCTTACATTTAAGCAAAAGACAGAGTCAGCAAAAATAAAAAAAATAAAAAATCAGGATTTTTTTTTGGTAAAGAGGGGGGGGGAATAACGTTTTAGACCATTTGGAAGAACGTATATGGCATCCTAGTAGCAAACGCAGTTGACAGACCTGAGATGTCAAATGGCTTAATATCAGTTATTTTATAGACACACAGAGGAGAAATTACTTTTAAAAAATTATATTAAGCATTTTTTCCCATGGAATAAAAGACAAATTGAAAAGAAACAAGCAAATGCAAGAAACAAAAAAAATATTGAAGATATACACGATCCAACCTTGTTTTCAGCAGATAATTACATTCTTATTGTCCCTCCTCCTCCTTAGGTGTTATATAAGACCTTTCAGATCAATAAACCATCATCTCTTTCTTCTTTCACCAAAAGATCCATCTAAGATTTTCAATCTTTCAAGAAAGTTGTTTTTTCTTTGATCAAACAGGTCAGTTGTGCCAATTTCAAAAATTTTGACATTCACAATCTATCTCTCATTATTCTTCCATCATTGTGCATACAATAGTCTTGATGCAGTTACCATATTTTAAAAAATCAATCTACCATGAATCCTTTTTAATTCATTATCTTTAAGTCTCAATAAAAAGGTTGCACAGAGGAAAAATTACAGGCACATTTGGTTAAGACATTTGAAACATTCTCTTCCTTCCTAAAGTAATTTCTCTCTACCTTTTATTACCTTGTAGGGCTTCCTTTGCCAGATTAATGAACTGTGATGTAAATGTTTTATTTTTCAGGCTCTTTAATTAAATATTTGGGCAATAACAGTTTTCTTCTGCCTTTCTAGCAAGGAACAGAATTGGGTGATGGTGCTATAAACCAAGCCCTGTAATTAAGCCATTAATAGGATGGATTGTAGTAGCCACTGTGGCAGATACTTTGAAATTTAATCCTAAATACAGTTAAATAAGGGAGATTTCAATCATGAAAATAATTTTTGGGGAACTAAGTTCCATCTCCCCCCCCCCCGGATAAATCACAAGTATCCCTGCCTCACAGTTGTTCAGATTAGTGATGAGAATAGAAAGAACAACCACTCCAGTGGTTCTATCGATTAATCAATTTTATTATCATATAACATTTCATGAATTCCATCATCTTAGTAACATGAATGATATTCTTATGAGAGATTTTCTACTTCCATACCATTTGTGATAGAGAGGAAAGGGAAGGGGAAGAATAAACTAGGTTGTTTTAAAAATTGG